AAAGAATAAGAGCAATAAACCTAATTATCATCTTTTTGGCCTTTTCTAATGCCATGTGGCATCTTTTCAAGGGAATCCCTACTTCCATAAGGCTCTGGGAGTCAAATGTTTCCGGCGAGCTTAGGAAAAAGCTGCTTTGAATATTTTTTGTACATAAAGCCCTTTTTCTCTTTCTTGGATTTCTTTTGTATATAGATCTAGCAAGCATCCATGAAATCTTTAGCTCTGTATTTGCCTCCCTCATATGTCTTTGTAATGCCATTAGGTCCATGCATAGGTACACTTTGGTGGCATTTTTAGTAAAATGACAACTACTTTTACAACATAGTTTGGAAACTTTGTGTAGACATGTCAATAGTGCACTAATATGCTGATCTTCCCAAAAACATTCTAACATTTACCATTTTTACCCTTGTTCATCATTGTCAATCAGAATGTGGTAATATCAAATCTCAGACTAAGTTCAAAAGGTATTTCTCTCACTGTTAGCAATTAGGAACATGATTTATTATGTTGGGGACAACTTGAATGTCTTTTGAAAGTTGCCTGATCATATATGCTTTGATGGCTTAACTATCAGATGAAAACTCTTAATTTTTATGTATATCAGTTCTCTCTATACATTAGACATCAAAATTGTATCTAATTCATTTCATATAAAGGTTTTTTTTCTTTTCTTTTTCACTACAAAGTACATAGAGGAGAACCACAAAAGAGAATAAGAGAGACAGAGACAGAGAGACAGAGACAGAGAGAGACACAGAGAGAGAGAGAGAGAGAGGAAGGAGGGAGAGAGGGAGAGAGCATTCAACTGAAATGCAACAAACAGGATGAGGAGACCAACAGATTGGGCATTTAAGAAGTCACTTGTAACTTTGTAGACAACAATTTCAATTGAAGGCTAAGGTCAGAAGCCGTATTTCAAACGGTGGAAGAGTGATGGTAGAGGAAGCTAAGGCAGATGCTACTGAAGTAGACTGCTTTTTTTCCTGTAAGTTTGGGTGAAAGAGGGAGAAAAAACAGTGGACAATAGCTGGAGAAGACACGTGGGGATTAGATCAAGCATACATTTAGACGGATGGGCTTTGGTCAAAAGAAGAGATGTTTCTTTGTCCAAGATTGGAGAAATCAGGAGAGAGTTAGGGATGATGTCAAGGATTTTGAAATGAAGAGACGGAAGAAAAGGGAGCTGATATATTTTAATAAGCAAGAGTGTGACATAGTTAGATCTTTCTTTAAGGAAAAGCTGGGACCATACAACTGAGAGAGGAAAGTGCTAACAAAGACTGTTTGCCAAGCGCTTGTCCTGTGGCCTCATTCCAGCAGAACCAGGGGCTCACCATAGATGTCCTCCTACTCAGCAAGTAATAGCCTCATTGAGAGCCGAGTGAGGATGTCACTAAAACATCTATATATTGAATTGCCACAGGAATTTCCAATGTGTTAAATCAACACTTTAACCTCATAAATTCACACACTCTCCTTCTATAGTAATGTGTCCTAATTAGAGAGGGTCTACTAAGTTTATGAGTGGTCGGTCCTCTTACAAATGTTTTTACACTCTTATATCCTTAAACACTTCTTCTTTGCACAAATAATGTCCTCTACAGCATTAGAGAAAGTGAATCTATTAGTAAAAGTTTTTTTTTGCATTTTTGTCATGACTATATAGAGACTTAAAAAGTTAGTAATTTTAATATGCAGTAGAAGTAGAAGCAGTAGTAGAAATAAAAATGATAAAGCATTCACACAGGACTTTAAGGTTTGTAAAACACTTTATAAACATGTCATTTTATCCTCATAACAACCTTGAGAAGTAGATGGTATTATAATTCCCTTTCTATAGATGAGGAAACTGAGACAGGCAGGTGATAAGTGAATTGCCCAGGGTCACACAGCTAATGAATGTTGAAGGCTAGATTTCAAATCTGATGTACATGCATCCAAGTCCAGAGCTCTATACCCTGGGCCATCTTGCTGCCTCTAAAGGTGTTGTGGGGAGCCCACAGACCAGGTGCTACAATTATACTATCTTTTTGTTGTTGTTAATGCTGGTTAATATAGTTAATCATATCTCTTATTTCTAACAATTCCATTTATTTACTGATAGAAAAAGATAAAAAGTCACCTCACCTACACAACCAGGATGACTATATTGTACTACTTTCTTCCAACTTTAAAAAATTATTTTAATCTTTGAGTTGATAATCCAGTTGGAATTCACTGAGTTATTGGGTGTTGGATATGACACATGTCTGTTTGCCATCAGGGCTCAGGCAGAGAAATTGAACATTCAATTAATTCAGCATTTAGAGACAAATATTTGCTTGTCCTGTAACTATAAGAATTATAAGCTAAAAGGGATATATACACAGATATAAAAATATACACCTATTACACATATATTAACATGTATATATGTATATATACATGTGTGTACGTGTTTGTGTGTGTAAATATGAATGTGAATATTTTATATAGATGCACATTTATGTACACATTCATCAGTATAGGCATGGATGTCATTTTCATAGAGACAATAATTTAAATGCAGGAGATGATGAGTTCATCAAGATAAATAGCATAAAGAGGCAGCTAAGTGGCCCAGTGGATAGAACACTGATCTTGTCTCAAACACTTACCATCTGTGTGACTATGAGAAAATCACTTAACACTCTTTGCCTCAGTTTCCTCATCCATAAAATTCATTGGAGAGGGAAATGGTAAACTACTCCAGTATCTTTGCCAAGAAATCCCCCTAATGGGGTCACAAAGAGTCAGACACAACTGAAAGTTAATGAACAAGGGAAAAAAAGTATAAAGAGAAAAAAAAGAGAGAGACAAAGACAGACCTCTGAGAGCCCCTTGAGCTTAGTGTTTATGGTGTGGATGAAGAAGCATCAAAAGAAAGTGGAAAAGAAGAGTCAGCAACAAAGGAGTAGATACAGAAGGAATCAGCATCATGATTTCAACATATCTTCTTAGAGAAGACAGTGTGTCTGGGAAAAGAAGGCAATTACTAATGTCAATGGCTACAAAGAGGTAGAGAAAAAGGTAGTATTGAGAAAAGGCAAGTATATTTACCAGTTAAAAAATCATTGGCAACTTTTGAGGCCTTGGCTTCTGTTGAATGACAATGCCAGAGGTCAAGTGTCAGAGACTTTGGAAGTATGAGAAGAAAGGAAGTAGAGTTATATCCAAAGAAGACTGTAAATGATGAAGTCTCATTTAATTAAAAATACTTATAAATGTACTTAATGTGATAGCAGAGAATTGGAAACCACCTAGATTCCCTTTCATCGGAAAATGGCTAAACAGATTGTAGGACAGTAATATAATGAAATATTACTTTGTGTTAAAAACACTAATTTGATGACTGCAGAAAAATAAGACTATGTTAGCATGATCTGAACCATAGTGAAGTAATCAGAGCCAGGAAAACAATATGTATGATAATAACACTTTAAGTTGTAAGAGGAATGAAAAAAATAAATATTGCAATTTTTTAAAAAAGCAAGCATGCCTCTAAACAAGAGGTATGACAAAATACCCCCATCCTTTTGCAGAAGTGGAAGCTTCATAGATGTTTTGTTACATTTATCGAAGTTTTTAATGTGTCATTTAGTTTTGCTGTTTTTTCCTCTTTTGTAAAAAAATGTTATGAAGGATGGCACTCTTGATGGGGAGAAATACTGGGAGAACTTTGGTGATGAAAAATAAGACATCAGTTAAATTCATTTAATATTTTTTATAAAAACATAATGTTATAGCAAATGAGGATAGTAGGATCAAATAAGGGTTTATAGGGAAAGGAAGGACTTGAGAATGTTGACAAAAAAGAATGAGCTAGTAGATGCATAGAGAAGGAAGACAAAGAAAAGTGGAGATAGTTTGATGGGAGCTGAATTTTATTCATAGGACCGGAGGAAGTAGGTTCAATCTAGAATGAATAATGAGAAAATGTGGGAAGATATCAGAATGATAAGAACTAAGTTGAAGGGGAGAAGTGAGAACTTTCCTTGAGTGACTACATTTCCAGTCAATGAGTTATGAAGCAAAAGGTCCTCAACTAAGAAGGTAGATGGATTCGGTACTATGACACATATTAGAAGAGATATGAAGGTTCTTTAGAGTAGTTAAAGAGAATGAATACCAGGTGAACTAGTGAGGAGTAAAATATTGACCTTGTTGCAATGTGGGTTGTGAGGTTACATGACACAATGTTTAATGGACTTATTCAAGAAGATTTTCTGGCTTCCTGTATAGCTGTTCAGAGACACATGAAGAGGGGTGAAGAATGGAGATTACAGGAGTCAATGGGAAACAAATGAACAAGGGATAGAAAAGTAGAAGATAAAGGTAAATTATTTGACAAGGTTATTCGCAGGTGAGATAAGGGAAAGAAAATAGTTTAACTGCTACAAGGATACAGGTAAGAGAAGTAAAAAAACAATCTCAGGAATGAAAGTCACTGTGAGAAAAATCAAGCTCAGAAGTCTTTTTTTTTGTTTTTATTTTGTAGATTAGTTGTGTTTGAATGTCCATGACCCTATTGGAAGTTTTCTTGGCAAAGATACTGGAGTGGATTGCTATTTCCTTTTCTACCTTAATTTACAGAAGAGGAAACTGAGGCAAACAGGATTAAATGACTTGCCCAGGGTCACATAGATAGTAAGTGACTGAGGCCAGTTATTAACTAAGGTCCTCCTGACTCCAGGCCTGGCACTCTAGCCACCGTGTAACCTAACTGCCCCAAGGTCTTTAGGCATAACCAAAGTCAGAATGATAAGATGTTTTCATCTAAAAAGAGAATTTTAGAGTTCAATAGTTAATTACTACCCACCATCTGAGAAACTTGATTGTTTCTTATATAGGACCTCATGAACAGAAGGTCATGGAATTTCAATGGAAAAATTTTAGTAACAAATATGATGTCAAGTGTTTTTCCTTAGGTCACGTTAAATTTGTGAGTTAATCGTCTTTGCAAGACAGTTAAAAAGTGCTGACTTATGATGAAATCCTGGGGATAGTATACCTGCAACTAACTGTAGTTGGATTCCTAGGGAACTGTATTCTCCTCTTCCTAAACAGCTTTAATTTCCTCATTGCTCAGAGAAGAAGACCTAAAAACCTAATTATCATCCATTTGGTCTTTTCCAATGCCATGGTGCTTCTCTTTAGGGGAATACCCACTACAATAAGGCTTTTGAGGGTGAAATGTCTCCTGGACGAGACTGGGATTAGAATCATAACATACATGCAGAGATTAACCTGGAGCCTCTCCTTATGTAGCACCTGCCTCTTAAGCACCTTCCAGGCCATCACCATCAGTCCCAAGAACTCTATATGTGCACAGCTCAAAATGAAAGCATCAAATTGCATCATTCCATGCATTTTTCTTTGCTGGTTGTTCAATCTAATATCAGCTCTGAATCGACTTCTATATCAAACTGGTCCAAAGAATAGTATAAACAGTAATTACGGATGCAATGTGGGGTACGGGTATATAGATATGTATAATAAGAACCATGTAAAATTGGCAATCATAGTATTTGTCCAAGGTGCTTTATTTATGTTTCTCATGACCTGTTCTAGTGCCTATATGGTCTTCCTCCTATACAGACACAAGAGGCATGTCAATCATATTCATAGTAATAGCCTCTACATAAAACTTTCCCCTGAAACCAGAGCCACCAAAGCTATCTTGATTTTAGTGGGTGCTTTTGTTTTGTTTCATGTATTCAGTCCCATTTTTATTTTGCATCTGCTGCATTTTAAATACACAAGCAATTGGATGCTCTATATTTCAGCCCCCTTTCTCTATGCTATCCAACAATCAGCTCTTTTATTCTGATCAGCATTGATAACCAGATCCTCAGGACTTGTGCTCGTGATAGTATGAAAAGCCCCAGGGTCTCCATCACCCTGTAATTCTGATCCATGCGGAAGACCTATACAAGTGTAGAGACTTGGAATGTTTCAGCTGGAAGGAACATTGAGGAACATCTTAACCTATCATTCAACAGACTCCTGAAACTCTCAGGAGCTTCAGGATCAATGAATTATGAAGGAACACTTGCTTTCTCCACTCTAACCTCCTTTTTTAAAATTTGGCAGTATATTCATTTCTATCCTCATTCAATTTTCTCCAGAGGTCTATCATATCTAACTTTTCTGAAATTCGATTCACTTCCATAACTTCTTTCCTGTTTATTTTGTAGTTAGATATATCAAATTCTGAAAGGGGAATGTTTATGTTTTACTATAACTAGTATAATTTTACTATTTCCTCCTGTAACTCATTTAACTTCTTTGAATTTGAATGCTATACCATTTGTGCATATGTTTTGTTTTGATATTACTTCATTTTCTATGGTACCTTTTGTTTTGCTTTGTTTTGTTTTTTAGTGGGTTTTTTCTTTTTTTTTTTTTTTTTTGGTGATTGGGATTAAATGACTTGCCCAAGATCACACAGCTAGTAAGTGTCAAGTGTTTGATCTGAGGCCAGATTTGAACTCAGGTTCTCCTGACTTCAGGGCTAGTGCTCTATCCATTGCACCACCTAGCTGCCCTCTCTATGGTGCCTTTTAGCAGGATGTAGTTTCCTCGCCTGTCTCTTTTAATTAGATCTATTTTTGCTTTTGCTTTTTCTAAGATCATGATTGCTACCCTTGCTTTGTTTTTATTTCACTTAAAGCATAATATATTCTGTTCCAGCTTTCTACCATTACTCTGTGTGTGTCTCTCTGTTTCAAATGTGTTTTTTGTAAACAACACATAGTAGGATTCTGGTTTTTAATCCACCCTGCTATCTGCTTCCATTTTAAGGGAGAGTGCATGCCATTCATGTTCACAGTTATAATTATTGAGTATTTCCCTTCATCCTATTTTCCACCTGTTTGTACTTTTCTACCTCTCCTTTCACTCTGTTCCTCCTTACCAATATTTTGCTTCTATCCACTGTCTCCCACAATTTGCCCTCCTTTCTATCAGCCCCCCCAACTTTTTTGTCCCCACTCTTCCTATTTCCCTATAGATTAAGATAGATTTCTATACCCAACTGAGTGTGTATGTTATTACCCCTTTGAATCAAATCTGAGGAGATTAAAGTTCAAACAAAGCTCACCTCACTCCCTTCTTTCCCTCTACTGTAATAGGTCTGTTGCACCTCTGAATATCATATAATTTACCCCTTTCTGCCTCTCCCTTCTCTCTTCTCCCAGCGTAATCATCTTTTTCACCCTTTAATTTTTTATATTATCCCATCAAAGTCAACTTATACCGACATCCTCTGTCAATGCATATTTTTTAAAATTATTTAATTTTTAATTTATAGAATAAAATAAGCATTTCCATAAGACAGTATAATTTAAAAAGATGACTGCTCATAAAACTGCAAATTCATTAAATACAACTTGCTATTCCTTTTAAATATATAATAATGTCATCATTTAAATTTATTTTTTTCCTTTTTTTCTACCTCACTCCAGTAAACAAGAATGAGTGCCTGTCTGTGTGTGTGTGCCTGTGTGAGTGTGTCTGTGTGTGTGTGTGTGTACTCTTTCTAAGTGGCCTATTAGGGATACAGTTCTTAAGCATTACAAGTACCATCCTCCTGTGTAGGGATGTAAATTATTTAACCTTATTTCATAACTTATATTTTTTCTTTCTTGTTTGCCTTTCTGTGCTTCTCTTGAGTCTTGTATTTGAAAATTGAATTTTTGGTTCAGTTCTGTTCTTTTCATCTGTAATGGTTGAAAGTTTCCTATTTCATAGAATTTTTATTTTTCCCCTGAAAGATTATGCTCAGTTTTGCTGAGTAGTTAATTTTTGGTTGTAATGCAATCTCCTTTTTTCCTTCCAGAATATCACATTTTAAGCTCTCTGATCCTTTAATGTAGAACTGCTAAATCCTGCATAATATTAACTGTGACTACTTGATATTCTAATTAAATTTTATTCTGGCTACTTGCAGTATTTTCTTCTTCACCTGAGAGTTTTGGAATTTGGTTATAATGTTCCTGGGAGCTTTCATTTTGGGATCTCTTTCAGGAGGTGATAGTTGGATTCTTTTGATTACTATTTTGCCCTTTGGTTCTAGGATATCAAGTTGGTTTTCCTTGATAAGTTCTTTTTTTAAAATGATATCAAGGATCTTTTTTTTAATCATGGCTTTTAGGAAGTCCAATAATTCTTAAATTATCTCTTGTGGATCTTTTCCAGGTTTGTTGTTTTTCCAATGAGGTATTTTACATTTTGTTCTATTTTTTCATTCTTTTGATTTTGATAATAAAAGACCAAATAAATATCATAAAATAGCACAGTATCAGGAAAGGAAACAAAATTTGGTCTAAAATAACCTCTCAATAAAAATCTTTTGGATCTGATAGTCTTACAGGAGAATTCAATCAAACTTTTAAAGAGAAATTATACCCATACCACAGAAATTATTCTCAAAAACTGAGAGAAAAGTACCTTACTAGATTAATTTGAGGAACAAATACAGTCTCAATACTTATATCAGGGAAGGATAAACCAGAGAAGAACTTCAGATCAACATCATTAATGAGCATCAAACAAAAAAGTTAAATTAAATCATGTCAAACAGTCTACAATTCATCCAAAAATCATTTTATGAGGGATGAAATTATTGTTTAACATTAGATAAACAATCAATACAATTATTTTTTAAAAAAATAATAACACCACAAACCATATTATTATATCAATATATGCAGAAAAAGCATTCTACAATGAACTGCTATCATTTATGCTATAAACCTTAAAAGTAAGGCATAGAGGGACCTTTGTGATGTCATTAAAATAACAAGCAAAAGTAAGCATTATCTGTATCCCATTTTACAATAGGGAAAAGTGAGGCAAATAGGTTAGGTTGTTTGCCTATGGATGCACATTTATGAAGTGTCTCAAGACAGATTTGAATTCAGGTCTTCTTCACTAGAGGCCTGAAATTCTATCTATTGTTCTACCTACCTGGCTACAATAAATGGGAGAAGCAAAAAGATTGCTTTTATGCAATGATGGCCCAATTTGGATTATGTAACAAATCTGTAGTGGGCTAAGTCAGCTACTATAGTTTTAAAATTATTTTGTAGCTTCCTTGGGCAGCAAGTAAATAAGAATGAAGACAGAGGAAAGTTGAAATAATCTGAGGCTGGAGTTTAGAAGGATAAGATCACCGATAGGGTAACGGTGGCTAGGAATTCAGTAATACCCGATAGTGTAGGAGTTGACCTGGCTCACTAAAGGGTCAAGATTGAGAAAGAAAAGAATGTACTAGCCAATGCAAAAGTGATGACTTAAAAAAAACCTCCAGGATGGAGGATTTGGTGGTTATAGTGAGAATGGAAAGAATGTTTGAAATTGCAAAGCAAAGAGAAAGAAGGAAAGAAAAAAATATGATCAGATAAAGGAACGTCATAAATATTAGAGTGGAACACTTGTAGGAGATGCCAAGAGCAAGAGTGTAACTATTTCTGTGTATAGCTTGGGTGGAATGGAGTAGTAAGTTATGGCAAAAGAGTAATTTGGGGAACTAGGAATGAGGTTACTTTAGGAAGAATCTATATGTATGATTAAAGCACCTAATATAGCAGGAACTGGGGAGGACAGAAGAGCTCTGATGCAGGCACTTAAAACATCAGCAAAAAAGGAAAATGTTTTGAGGGTTGGTAGAAAACAAATACCATAATATGTATCGCATAATAATAATAATAAAAAAGAACTGAATGAAATTCAATAAAGGAGAGATAAGAGGGTTATTGTTGCAATGAAAAAGTGTTAAAGTGGCAATGAGAAGCAAGGATTATTCTGACTCAACCAGTTGATTGGAGTATGGGTTGGGGGTGGTAATAAATGAAAATGTGGCAAGAGCTGGAAAGGGTGGCCAGGGATGCCATTTCCTAAGTAGGGAGACAGGTCTCACTGATTATAAGATGGAAGGAATGAGAAAAGAAAAAGATTTAAGAAGAATGAAAAACTGTTACTTATGCAGCAAATATTCCAGAGAGCATGGTGAGGGGGTGGTTAGATACAAAGCTATGCATCAGAATTGGGGGTAAGGAGGACAATTTTAAGGAGATGTGAATAAGGTAAACAGCAATGAAAAACAGAGGTAGGGATTAAACAATGATACTCAGAGGATCAGAATCACTAAGGGAGAGTGTGGAGTAATGAAGGTATGCTAAAAATTAAAAGATGAGTTTAGAAAGATTACCACACCCTGGTCCTCAAAGCCTCAGGCAGCTGATATGAATGCTGGAAATAGGACTAAAGGAGAACCTGTGGGGGCAGCTAGGTGGCACAGTGGATAGGGCACCAGCCCTACCTGAGTTCAAATCTGGCCTCAGACACATAACACTTAATAGCTGTGTGACCTTGGGCAAGTCACTTAACCTCGATTGCCTCACCAAAAAAAAAAAAAAAAAGGAACCTGTAGTAGAAAGTGAGCAACACGGTTTGGGCTTTTCACAAAAACAAGGTGTTACTTCTGATACTTTTCACATTTCTCTATCATTGCCTTTCTTGGTCAATTTTAAACATTTCTTGGGCTATCTATGGGAATTCTTGACTTATCCAGGACCTTTCAAATTGCTAGCTTAACCAAAAGCCATACTGTTTGATTTTCCAAGTCCTTCACACACATATCATAATACTGATAGCATTACTTTATGTTGTGACAAGTACTATAAAGTAATTAACTATCTGTTGAGGAATAATGACAAGAATTTTCAAATGTTCATATTAGTGAAATATAAGTGGACTCTCTCAGGCAGTAAACCTGATGAGTACAGAGAAGCATGAAAAGACCAGTATGAGTTGTTGGGAAGTGAATAGGTACAAAGAAGCAATAATATGCACAAAGGTGGCAGCAAAGTAATTAGAAGTATCATGACCAGAAAACAATCAAG